AATATTCATAATACAAAGCAACACGAATAGTTAAAAAGACACCTTACACATGCTTGTATATAGTATGTATGTACATACATACATATAATATGTACTAATAGTAAACTTTTAGTTATAGTATATATATAGTTTTGTTACTTGATTGGTTATTCTATTAAGACCTGACTAAACCACCGTACCCCCTCCCTCCAAAAATCATCTGATTTCTGTCCATGCCCTTAGCTTTAGATATATTATAATTTGTTATATATTTCAATTCATGATTCCAATCATTCTTAAAAAATTTGACTAATCATGTCATGTCTTCAAAATAATTATCTTCCTCAAATGAATATGAAACATAACTAACTTCTAAAAATCCAAACTACCACTTGTGATTGGATCCTTTATATTTTTTTAAGATCATTACATCAGGAAGTCAACTTGGTTCTAAATGACCCAATTCCTATTTTTAGTCAAATCACTTTGTCCTTTCAATAAAATAAATATAAGTAAATTTTTTCATAAATAATTATAAATAAAAAAAATATAATAATTACTATCAAATTCTATGTTGATATCTTTTATATTATAGAACATAAAATCAAAGATACACTTAATGACTTGATGTGTATATGATCTTTCATTAAGATTAGGTGATTTTTGTTAATATAACAGCATTTTCCAAACCAATTTCAATTGTGTTAAAAAAGAACCTAGTGCGTTGTAAAATTTCTTATTATCATTTCAAAAATTTTGCATGGTTGCATATCCATGCTTAATACGTAAATCAATAAATTTCTTTTGGTAATTATCTAATTTAACTTTAAATATATTAGAATCATACAAATATAGTTCATTAATACAATTATAATTCTTAATGACGTTAAAGATTGGTTTGCGATATTTTTTTAATAAAACTCCATTAACAATGCCATCTAAGAGTAAATCTTCAGGAACAAAATTTGCGTTTTCTATGTTATCACAAATTAACCTTGAAGAAGTTGACATTTTAGAGGATCATCTAAAGCCAGGTATTTTTTAAGTTGATTAATAATAACTTTGTAATGTAAAAGTCATGTGAGGCGTATAAATTACTGCCTGGCTTTAGGCGATCCCTATTTTAGGAAAGTATGTAGTAAGCTAACAAAAATAAAAAGGAGATACATTAGTTATAGATTAGCAATTGTCTGAAATATTACATCAATGATCATTTCGTAATATTATAGTTAATTTGAGCATAATATGTTTACCTTAGTAAATCTTTCTTTATTTAAATACTGTTGAATTCTATAATTGACAAATCTTCAACCGATTCCGTAACATCACTATCATCATTAATCTCACTATCAACACCAAACTCAACACCATCATCGTAGACATTTTGATCTTCAATATCAACAACAGCATTATAATGATCATCATTTTCATTATCATTGTTCGTATCTTCTTTAATCTCTATTTGACATAAAAACTCAACATTTTTTTCTTTAGTACATTCTTGAATATATTCCAATATTTAGCGTAAGAATTTTTTAAAGTTCCAATATATGAGTAAAATGCTTTTGACATGTTAAGAAATTTCACATCCTAAAAGTATGCAAATACATAAAAAATATTATTAGTTCATATTGTCTTATACCATAAATGACTATTATTTTAAAAAATCTCAGAAGAAAAAAACTTTTTTGGTTTATAACATTATATTGACGCAAAGCCTCGACAAGGGTGACCAATATAATACTAGAGAAGTAAATTTCACCTTTTTCTTTTTACATTAATATATTACCAAAGCTTCGACGAAGGTAATAAATATACTTAATATATATGCTAGTCAGATTTTTTATAAAAAATTTGATGCGCGCAATCAAAAAAAGTTATCATAATTTGTGAGGTCATCATACAATAACGTTACAAAGACCAATCCTCCATCATTCCAGCAAATAAGTCATCCTCGATACACTTACTAAATCATTATTTAAAAAAAA